GAGGTTTGTACATTTTGACCCCCCTTCATTCGTTCCATCCACCAGGCTGATAATGTAGCCTAAACAACTATATCCTTTCTCTCAAAAAAAAAAAAATCCCATTACCTCACCTACACAGTTCTATTTTTTTTTTTGTCACTGTTGCTTCTAGCATAGTCTCAATTATCCATGTTACATTTAATTTACAGTTTACTTACCCAACTACTGGTAGGGTAGATAGGGACTTGACAATTGTCTATCACACACAAGTAATACCAGATTAGTAATACTATTTTTACATCTCTTTAAAGTGCAAATATATACACATTCCTTAACATGATGCAGTTAGAGTAACTTCATAACATTTTATTTTGTGTAACTTTGAAACATTTTAACATAAGCAGAGTTACATACATTAAAATCTATGCTTTATGACCAAGGTTTTAGAGATAAAACTAATAAGAGTCTTGGAAATCATGTGTTAAGCTGACACTCTATAAAACAATTGATATAAAAGTTTGTCAGAATTATGACTCAGTTTAGTTAAACACAATTTAATTTTCTTACACTTTTTAAGCTTTATGTAGAGACACTGTTAATCTGATTAATATCCATATCAGAATATTAGGAAGTTCAGATTAGCCAGTCTCTTCATTTGGAAAATACAAACTCACACCTTTACAAAATCATGGAGAAAACATAGCTCTGTATTTTAAACCATAATTATTAAATTAGTCTTATTTGTATAAAGATTCACTTTTATTATGTGAACTGGGCTTTTTATAAAAATATTTCTTAGCTTCTAGCAGAATCTCTAAGAAGGATTTTTTCTTAAATGTCTAGCACATTTAAAGTTTTCATTGTATATTAGTATATAAGATTTATGAAAGTGATTACTATTCTCCGTGAACCAGATTATCACTCCTTTAACTTCCAAGACTTTATAATTTAATTTATTAGTACCCTTCTATGTTAGGAATATATTTTATGCTCACACAGTTAGAGAGAACGGCTTTTCTCAATTACAGCAACACAGAGAATTTGTCACTCAGAGACAGCTTTAAGTATTCAAAGAAACACAAAAATTCACCAGCCAAGATTTCACAGGGCTATTTTCCTTCTAGCGTTTATGAATTTTTTTATGAAATAGTTTTAGCCCAAAGTAGACCAAAAAATTAAGGATAGCAACTAAAATTTTGTATCATCTCTCACATGAGAGATAACAGATCCCCATAATCCCAATAGCAGTCTCAAATGGTCAGATTATAAAATTACACTCCTACTCATTTTTGCTACCAGGGGGGGAATTATTTATCATTGTTGTTTAGAGCAAACTAGATCCAGAACCAAAAATGGCCAGAACCAGAAAAAAATTCAAAAGTACTACATTAGGAAAAAAAACATGTTAACAAAGATAGTGTTCTATTACTGTTTTAGAAGCAGTCTGGGGACCAAGCATTTATGCCTGGGCTTAGATAGACCACAGTGTGTATTTCTGTGGTAACAGTTGAGTTTGGCTTTGTGAATCCATTCTGGCATCTTGGTGGAAGTTCCAAAGCTGTTGCAGGCTAATATTCAGAGAGTTAAAAAAATGACTTTCATACCTATAAAATGAACATGGATTAGACTTTACTTAACTCACTAGTTAATGAGAGAATTGTGGTACGAGATGTGGTAACTGAGATGTGGTAACTGTGACTCAAAGGACATTTTAGAAGTATGTGGTTAAAAGCAAGTTATTAAAGTAACTATTAAAGTAAAATATATTAAAATATATTAAAGTAACTATTAAAGTAAAATAACATCGCTAAGTTAGATATAAAACTAGTTAATATTCTACAGGGAAATAAACCATAGCCTATGAGATTATCTTTTCTAACAGAAGAATAGTATCTGAATTTATTCAGGACCAAAAAAAAATCTATAAATTAACATGCAACTTAAGTATACTCAGGATTTTAATCAATTTTAAACAGTGGATCAATTAAAAATACATTCCCCCAAATTATCCTTGGCTGGACCTGTTAAATAATGCACCTATATCATCTTGAAAAAATCAGTTGCTCTCCTTTTAGTTCTTATTTTCAAACTTTAAATGACTTTTCTTAACACAGGGCAACAACATATGATATACTCAACACTTGTCCAGAGTAATTCCAATGGCATAAGTTTTATTGATGGGAAACATCAGTATTATAAAGATGTCAGTTTTCCCCAAAGTAATTTAAGAATCAGTAAGATTTTATTAAAATCTCAATGAATGTTTTTATAGAACTTGGCAAGTAAGTCCAAAACTAATTATGAAGAGGAAAAGCTCAAGAATAGCTCAGAAAAATTTGAGGACAATGAACAAGATGGAGGGAATTATCCTATAAAATGTCAAAACTAATTATGAAGCAATGGAGCGTGCAGAGATAAACAGACAGACAAGTAGAAACAAATAGAAAAGCCAAAACATGTTGATGGACATTTGAAACCCTGACAGATGCAGCTAAACAAATCATCGGAGAAAACATGAACTCTTATTAAATGTTATTAAGCCAATCGTTTATAACACTTGGAAAACATAAAAATAGATTACTAACACATACTATATATAATAAAAAATAACTTCCAGGTAGATAACTACCTAAATGTAGGATGGCAAAATTTTAAAACTTTTAGAAGAAAATATAGAATGTTATTATAACCTTGAGGAAGAAAGGGGTTCCTGAAACAAAGCACAGAACTACCTGATACAAACAAAACTGAAATTACAAACGTGATTATATTTTTAAAAATTGTTTTCCTCAAAATCACCATTGTTCAAAGAAATGTGAAAAAGCCACAGATTGGGCCAAAGGTATCTGCAACATATTTAATTGAGAAAGTGTTAATATACAGGTTATATAAGGACATCTTCAGTAAATTGGTAAGAAAAAAAGACACCTAACCCAACAACATCAACAAAAAATGGGTAAAAGACATGATCTAACAGTTTGCACAAGTGAATGAATGACTTAGAAAGATATGAATAAATGTTCAACCAGTCTAGTAATCAGGCAAATGCAATTAAAATCACAGTGTGGGGCAGCCCCAGTGGCGTAGCGGTTTAGTGCCGCCTGCAGCCTGGGGTGTGATCCTGGAGACCCAGGATCGAGTCCCACGTCGGGCTTCCTGTATGGAGCCTGCTTCTCCCTCTGTCTGTGTCTCTGCCCCTCTGTCTGTGTGTCTCTATGAATAAATAAACAAAATCTTTTTAAAAAAATAAAATAAAATCACAGTGTGATGTCTTTTTACACTTATAAGATCACCAGTATTTAAAGGATCAGAATATACCAAGTATTAGTGAGAATGTGGAAAGTCAGAACCTTCCAAAGAGTGCTGTTGAGAATATGCATTGTCATAAGCATTTTGAAATAAAATTTGTCCGTTTAAGTTGAAAAAGCATATGTTCTTTGATTCAGGAATTTTATTTCTAGGTATATATCATGCAGAAACCCACACATGTGCATAAGTAGACATGTACAAGCAGAACTCATAATGGCTAAAATGGAAAACAATGCAATTGTCTGTCTGCAAATAATGGATGAATATATTTTGATATATTCATAAAAGATGTATGTACAGGGTTGTTAAAATGAAGTTTGTCAAGTGGTATTTATATGTGTAGTTAAATCTCATACATAACATTGAGTGAAGCAAACTAAATTGCAGAATGAGAGGCATCCTTCATAATGTTTGAAAATGGCAAATGTACACGTATATTGTGTATATTCATGTATACATATTATTTCTACCTCAAAACATCCATAGTAAGATTGAGCACCAAAATTAGTATGATGGCTACCTCTATGAAAGCAGTGAAGGGACGAGAATTAGAGATGAATAATAAAGGGCCTTAGCTTTTCTGGAATATATTTCTTTAGAAAAAAAAAATCTCACTCCAGTATTGCACGGTGCTGAGATTTGATAAAGTTGGATGTTTGGTACATGGGTGTTTATTACTTAATTCCCTCTGCATTTCTCCATGATTGAAATACTTTAAAGTACTTGAGAAAATAAAAAAAAAAAGAAATACTTCCTTTCAAGACATAAAAAAATGGTGTATATAAAACATGTATATGAATTTAAAAGCATTATATAGTAAACAACACCAACACTGCATGTAGCCCCTAAACATAAATAAATATATGCATTTATATATACATGTCTGTGCAAACATACATACAGTTAGTTATGAGCATTAAAAATTTCAAGCTTATAACTTGAATAGGAAGGGTTCTCTGCAATTCCTGATGATGTTTTCTCCTTGAAGAGTAGAGGTGGAAGGCAGGGCTAGGGATGAGGCTCACAGCAGGTTTCAGCTGGATTCGTTATGTTTTATGTGATTTATTAAGGACAAAAAATGATGTAAGCTTGTCATACATTAGCAGTTAGCAGTTCTTTTAGCAGTTAGCAGTTCCTACCTTTGTGATAGGAATATGAATATTGGGCAAACCAAATCTCTCCATTTAGTATTGCTTATCTCTGTTTTTCAAAACGATCTTTTATTTTTTTCCCATTTTACCCACTTTTTAAGATTTTATTTTTATTTATTTTTAAATTTCTTTTATTGGAGTTCAATTTGCCAACATATAGCATAATACCCAGTGCTCATCCCGCCAAGTGTCCCCCTCAGTGCCCATCACCCAGTCACCCCAAACCCCCACCCACCTCCCCTACCACTACTCCTCATTCATTTCCCAGAATTAGGTGTCTCATGTTTTGTCACCCTCACTGATATTTTCCTAATTTTCTCTCCTTTCCCTTTATTCCCTTTCACTACTTTTTATATTCCCCAAATGAATGAGACCATTATCAAAACGATCTTTTAAAAAACATTATGCATTTGACTAAAATCAGGAGCTTGTGGATAAAAGACAAATTTTGGGTCAGTAAAAGTATCATAAAAATCAAGTATTTTGTCAACTTATGTTTTGGAAATGGTAATGTACTATCAAAAAAGTTAATTTTGGGTAATTTTTCCTTTTTTCCCAAAGAATACAAGTTAATGACCAGATTGTGGAAGTGGATGGAATCAGCTTGGTGGGTGTCACACAGAATTTTGCTGCAACAGTTCTCAGAAACACCAAGGGCAATGTCAGGTAAATATGTGGCTCCAGATATGTGTAATTTCATTACTTATAATTTTGTTGAATTTTAGTTTTCTAGATGTATGTAATTACAATGAAGATTTTATCTGAATACTCAACATTTGCTCTTAGTTCTTAATGTTTCCTTTATTGTTATTAGTTTATGTAAATATAATTTAGGACCAAAAATTATGCTATTTCAGAATGACATGAAGATATGAAGTGTACAGTGTACAGTATCAATATGGTTAATTACTGTGCTATGTTAGTGTGCCTAACAGCATAAAAGTTCTAAAGTCCTCAGCAAATTGAATTTAGACTCTAAATCCTTTCACTAAAACCAGTTACACAGTAAATTGAAATTGAAAAGATTATATGTATATCCAGTGATACATGTTTTTAGATAAACTGGCTTAATTACTTGAGGTTAATAAATGCATTTTAAAAATCTCTTTATAGACTTTGTAGGACTAATCTTTGGTCAACTGTAACTTTGACAATTTAATAGAACAAAGGGTTCCTTCTTTTGGACCTTGAAATGTATATATCCTGTCCTGGGGGTTCTGAAAACTGTAGCTTAGAAAATAGATAAGAAGGTGGTTCTGAGCCAACTAAGGTCATGGTGTGAAATCCATTTTATTTGGTCATAGGGCATTTATTTTTAAATATAGTGTTGCTTATGTCTTAATACTTTTCCATCAATCCTATGAAGGAATGCATGGGGGATGTTATATAGTATGGGTAATTATCAAAATTAGTGTTTTCATCAGAATGTGATAACCAAAAACCCTGACATCATTTTAGTGTTATCATCAGAATGTGATAACCAAAAATCCTGAAAATGTCAATGAGTTAATATTGTTGTAAAGAGGGTCACATGAGAATTTTATTGCAGCATGTTTTTTTGTTGCACAAACATGGGTTTAAGTTTTAGATTTTAGACTTTTTCAGTTGGAAAATACCCTTTCATGCTGAAGGAATGGTTTAAGGAATACAACATCAATGACTTTTATGGATGCTATGTTGATGCTTCAAGACTACTCACAATCCTGAGAGAAGTATGTGAAATAATTGGAAAGAGCACAGGAAAAGCCATCTGATGCTCTCTTAGAGACCCGTGTGGGTGGGCTACCTCAGGAAATGGGATTGTCTTTCTTGTTTTTCTCAAGAAAAGACAGCACTTTCCTCTCTCAGTAGAGAACTTGGTTTTAAAGCTGCCCATCAGGCTTTGAAGTTTAAAATTGAAATAAGTAAGATATACATTCAGCTTGTAAGAACATTTTTCTTTTCTTTTTTTATAAGAATATTTTTTGGTAGCTAGGAAGTTTATAGTTACATGAAATCATAGCCATCCTTTTCTTTCAAGCCTCATGTAAATTACAAATGGCCTCTTAAGGATCCATCTCCTGATTTCAGCCTCTCCCTTCAATCTGCTCTCCTCATCCTTCCTCCAAATGGGAGGAAATAATAGCAATTTTCAAATGCAGGAAGGTCTACAATGGAAAAAGGAATGAACTCATTCTATGTCATTCTGGTCCTGGAGGATCTCAGACCTGAGGGTAGAAGTAATAATTGTGCGTCTGTAATGTGCCTCTCCTCTTCTGAGATCTTCCGTGGCTCTCCATTCTATACAGAACCTAAGCTCTTTATCCTGCTATTAAAATCTTTCATCAGCCATTCCCATCACTTACCCCTCTCTGTATTCATGTTTTGTTACAGTCACACTGTTGTAGTCATATTCCTTCAAACCTGACTTGGGAATTACTGTTTTATTATTGTGCCTTTTCCTCCCTGTCATTTCTTCTGTTTAAATACTGTCTTCTGCACTAAGTGTTATACTATATGTTGGCAAATCAAACTCCCAACAAAAAGTATACATTAAAAAATAATAAAATAAAATAAAATACTGTCTTCTGTTTAGAACCTACTTACCTTGAGGACCGTATTTCAGCTTCTTTACCCTCCAAGAAATCCTCCTTCAGCCCCCATATCCCTAGCAATCTCTTCTTCCAGGTAACACTCATCATTCATACTACTTTTTTGACCTTGAGGTTACAGAATATTACTTTTATCTTTTACAGGCATTCACTTATTTCCTCATTCACTTTGCACAAATTTTGATTATTGAAATGGGACCTTTAGCCCCCCCAAGTTATTTAACCCAGGGTCTTAAATAATTGAATATAAGAAAGCCTTTTCTCAATTTTAACTTATTAAAAATAATATTTGAGTCCTCTGAATATATTTTAGGTGGTAGTTCTTCATAAAATATTAACACAAAAACAGAATCCCAAAACTAGACCTGTGTTTTTAATTAACTTTTTAAAACTGAGAATTTAAAATATATATGGTTTTATATTTCTTATTAATTGGTGACTTAGCTATCACACTTAGTGGACACTGAAATTTATTTTCAAAAAGGGATATCTGAAAAATTAGTAAATTTAGTTTGATTTTTTTCCTAACTACTAAACACAGATCTGGGAGGAATGGGAAGCCATGGATCTAAAGATCCAAGTTAGGAAGCTAGAAGTGATGAGAAAAATGAAACAGATTTGGGTAGTGATTATTATACTGAAGTATTAGAGGTCAAGATTTTTACTTATTTCCTAGAAATGTATATGAAATTGGTGCCAGCATTTGAATATGAATCAGAATCAGACACTGAAGTTCTGCGACTTCATCCACACCTACAGAGAATCATTTTCCATCTGACTTCAGTCTGCTTTATTTTATTGAATTTTAAATTACAATACTTGAGTTTATGAACTAATACTACTAACAAAGACCCCAGTAATATGATATTTTTAACACACTAGAGAAATTACAGGTACTTTGTGATAACTTTCAAGGGTTATATATTTTTCAACTGTACATCCTTTATATGAGTTAAGAAGTGGGTTCAGCTCAAACCAGGTGACGTTCCTGGGGAATTGAAAGTCTTAGCCTGACTCAAAGTATCAGGAAATTATTATTATTTCCTTCATTTTACTGATGTCATTTAAAACTAAGTACTTGTGGTAAGTATTACGCTTACATCATGTAATTACTTTACATAGTTGATTGGGAAAGGACTCACAGGACTCAGATAGTTTGTAGTCAGAAATGATGCAACACACCAGCAGCAGCAAGAGAAAGATAAGCATTAACAGGGTGGGCATGCTGAGCTCAGACACAGTCTTCTCCATCATCCCTCCACTGGGACTCACAGGACTTGTTGGTCTCCAGATGCTAAGCTACCTCGGGCATGTGCATGAAGCATTGATACCAAGAAGTCCAAAGTCTGTATATGGCAGGGATTTCTCACTGAGATCATTAACCCCCCTCTCCCAGATTCCATCAAATCCAGGTAGAAGGAATAAATCCAATGATTGTTACCAAATAGTTTTGACAGACTAGTCTGTCTTGCCATGAAGCAGCTCGTGGACACATATATACAAAACATCATTTTTCCCTGGTTGGTACACCTCACAGCTTTGACCAAGGTTTGGTACCATGCTCCAGGCAATTCTGATTTGAGTACTTTGTCAATCCAGCTGGTGTCCAAATGAACTCATGCTATATAATACATATTGCATAACATAACGCATTTACTGCTCTCCTTTTAATTTCATTTAAAATGTTTTTATTTGAGCATATTTATTGTATATTTCAACATTACCTGGTGAAAACCTAAAGAGAAAATGTTGTAAGTTATTTAAAACCTATAATCTTTTTGGTGGTTGGTAGAATGTAACTTGCCAAATGTAATATAGTTAAAAAGTTAGAAAAAAGTTCTATTCTTATTGTCATATCCTGCATTGTGTAAAAAATAGTCCGGATTCGGTTCATTTGAATCAGCAGGTTTATCTACTTAAAATTCATTTTTATATCAGAACATACTAAATGATGCTTATCTTGGAGATCCTTAAAAGAGCCTTATGTGTCTTTTGGTCCACGTAAAGTTGTGGAAAAAATACTTTTAAACTTGAAATTATAAAGTCATTAGAAAAAATAATTAGTTTGAAAGAGATAAAAATACTGGTTGTTATCTATGGAAAGAAAGTAGCAATCTCTAGATATTGGGAGACTAATTAAAAGTCATACAATACAAACTACCTTCCATTTATTTATGGATGTATAATTTAGTTTTCTGTGATGTTGTTTTGCCAGAGAAGTCCCAAATGTAGACATTTGACTAATTTCTTATGTTATATCTCTGTGGACAAAAGGAAAAATGTGTTTGAATTATAGTACAGCCAGAGAATAGGTACAACCATACAGCTGATTCTGTTACAAGTTATAAAATATTATTTAATGTATTCACTGATATTTCTTTATGCACTTAGTACTAGGGATAATTGTCTTTCTCTAGTAACTACCTTTTTTCACAGGAAGCCAGACCTAAGGGATTCAGATTCTGCCTTAACCATTTAGATGTATGAGTTTATGGAAGTGTTTAAATCTCCCTGTGCTGTAGTTTCTTCATTTATAAAATGGGTGTCATAGTAGTACCTTCCCTATACATTTGAGAGGAGTATTAAATGAGTTAAAACATATAATGAATGCCTAGAAAAAATAAAAATTTGATGAAATCTTAGTGATTATTATTTTCTTCTGAAAACTCTGATTCCTTCTTTTTTTTATAATAAATTTATTTTTATTGGTGTTCAATTTGCCAACATACAGAATAACACCCAGTGCTCATCCCGTCAAGTGCCCCCCTCAGTGCCCGTCACCCAGTCACCCCCACCCCCCCGCCCTCCTCCCTTACACCACCCCTAGTTTGTTTCCCAGAGTTAGGAGTCTTCCATGTTCTGTCTCTCTTTCTGATATTTCCTACCCATTTCTTCTCCCTTCCCCTCTATTCCCTTTCACTATTATTTATATTACCCAAATGAATGAGACCATAAAATGTTTGTCCTTCTCCGATTGACTTACTTCACTCAGCATAATACCCTCCAGTTCCATCCACGTTGAAGCAAATGGTGGGTGTTTGTCGTTTCTAATGGCTGAGTAATATTCCATTGTAT